CTAGATAAAATTGATTTTCAATAGATAATGATTTTTGCACATCCAATGATATGACACATTCGTTTTTTAGTAAGATTTTTAATAAGAGTTACATATAATATTACTTTAAATTTTTTTTGTCAAATGTCAATATTTCCTGCCATTATGGCCGAACAATTGTTATAATGGCTAGATTCAAGGTTAAAATTTAACTCTAAAAAAAGTTCACAAATTATTCTTCATTAATACGAATCATTATTTGTGACTTGAATAGATGATTTTTAAAACCTTTATATATATATATATATATACACGTTTATTATTTTGCATTTAAGTTTTTTTTTATTTTATTTTTTTTTTTTTATGAGTGAATAATTTTGTATTTAAGTTACTGATAAATCAAACATAAGACGATTGTTGATGCACAAGCTCTCACATCATAAATAAATAAAATAATTAAGGAGTCCAGTTATTAATTTTCCTTCATGTTGTCTTATCATTCCTGATATAAAAGTCAATAGGTTTAACACTCCAGTAGTAGTTCTTATCATCTGAAGAAGAATCGTTGCGATAAATAAATGTATATATTTAAATGGTTAGGTTCGATTTTAAATCAGATCCATAACTATAAAATTGCAAATTGAGCTATTAAGTACAATTCACATATTTTAATAATCACGACTGAACTATGTAATGGGAAAATAAAGCCAAATCAAATTGTGAGATTGTGGTCTAAATCAGACTTTTTTTTTTTCAAATTAGTTTTTTCTTTATTTTTTGATTTTTTTTTTTTTTTTTTTTTTGCATTTTTTTTTTTTTTTTTTTTTTTTCTTTTCCTTCTTTTCCACATCATTTAGCGGTTAAAGTTAATTTACATGTGCTCAACCCGACAATCAAAAAAAATTTTTGTTTTAAATAGGATCGACCAATTGTAACCGACTTTGTTGTGATTGATTTGTTTGCCCTTTGTAGGACTCTACCAAAACCTTTCGCATAGACGTTTTTGTAAAGACTACTTGACTGGAGCTCTCTCATGTATGCCAAACTACTTAAAAATTCTTCATATAGTTTTTTTTAACAATATCAATTCCTTGGACAATTAATTGGTACCCTCCCATTTCGGTTTTACTATTTAAGGGAATTGATTTATTTTAAGGTACAGATGAATAAACATTAATAGAAAGAAGTAATTGAATTACACACACACAAAATTCAGAGTTTGACTGTTGTAACAAAATAATTTTTGAGTTTTTAATTTTATCAATTTAAATCCTAATCTTTTAATTTGTTTTCAATCTAAATAATTCGCTTATTTTTGCTTAGAAAAATCGACAGAAAAAGAGTAATTTAGCTATTAAAATCAATGTAGGTATACATAAAATGTCTAAAATATCCATTTTCATTGAGTTTAATGATTAAAATACTTATTTTCCCATCGATTTTACTTAATGGAAATATACAAATGGTTGAGGTTATAAAAACAAATCAAAAGTTTAGAATTTAAATTGATAAAATTAAAAACTCAAAAATTATTTTGTTACAACAGTCAAACTCTGAATTTTGTGTGTGTGTAATTCAATTACTTCTTTCTATTAATGTTTATTCATCTGTACCTTAAATAAATCAATTCCCTTAAATAGTAAAACCGAAATGGGAGGGTGCCAATTAATTGTCCAATGAGTTGATACTGTTAAAACAAACTATATGAGAAATTTTTAAGTAGTTTGGCATACAAGAGAGAGCTCCAGTTGAGTAGTCTTCACAAAAACGTCCATTCAAAAGGTTTAGGCAGAGTCCTGCAAAGGGAAAACAGGTCAATCACAACAAAGTCGGTTACAATTAGTTGATCCTGTTCAAACCATACAAATCTTTTGATTGTCAGGTTAAGCACATGTAAATTAACTTTTACTGCTAAATGATGTGGAAAAGAAGGAAAAGAAAAAAAAAAAAAAATTGGAAATGGGGATTTTATGATTACCTTGTCTAATTAGCACTATAATCTATAGAAAGGGTATTAAGATTCTGCTGTGGCTAGCTTTTCTTCTCTCATCCACTCGACGAAATCATCAAAGATTAATGGCCAAGCTTGGGTTGTATCATAATTTTTAAGGTCTGGAAAGCTTATCTTCAATAAACAGGAAAGAGTAAGAGGAAAGAACTCTTCATAAATGCAACTGAAATTGGCTCAAAATAATAGAAATAATACATCTAATGAAGTCAAAGAGCTTGTTTGTTTCCACTTTTAAGAAAAGCTAGCTAAAAAAAAAAATACCCTAACTTTTTAAGTGCAAGTACTAAAGCATGTGTTTTAAAATTTCAAGCTAGAGAAATTGCAAACAAGTGTAGATAAATGGTTCGGTTCGGTCAAAGTTGAGGGAAAGTTTAGCACCTAACTGAACCTCTCAGTTTTGACAATTGAGGAACCAACACAAGCTATATCATATGGGTCAGTTTTGTCAGTTTGGCATAGAAGAGGGATTTACATGAGGTCATTGAGAATAAATAAAGAAAAAGAATGAATGTAACTCTATAGATGTATAGCTCCCTATATCACAAAAAACATGTATTATATTGGTCACTTATCTTGTAATGCCCAAAGAATTAAAATATAAAAAATTTAAATATAATATTTTAGTTGGTTCGGTTTGTATCGATGGAAAAAAATTCAAAACCGAAACAAACCATACGTTATGAAAGAAAGACCGAAATCCAAAATTAGCAGTCGATTCAGTTACATTGGCTTTTCTTACACCCCCAAAAGAGTGGCAAACAAACATGCACACATAAAATATTAATGCCAGTGCCATATCATGTCGCACAAAAGGTTACTAATGAGAGGTACTTTCAGCGAAGTGAAAGAAAAGCTAACATACCCAGAAACTTTGTCCATAATATTACCCAAAATAAAAGTGGCTCAGATTCTAATAGAGTAATGGGGGACTAAATCTAGAATGAAATTGATTTTGAATGAAATTCTAGACAAAAATTTTGGTTATGTATTGTTGCTTTTCAACGAAAGAGCTCAATATATAGATCTACCTACCAAA